AATGCAACTTAGTGTAAAATTTTACGAGTCTAGAGGATTCGTACAAAGCCTAATAAAGTTAAAGCATGACTGCCGAAAAAAAAAAAAAAAAAAAAAAAAAAAAATTATTATTGAAAAAAGACAAGTTTTTTATATTTAACAATGAAGTTTAAAAATTGCTATCTTAGTTTTGAATGCATTATACCAAAAAAAAGTAGTTTGATTAAATTTTGATAAATCTTAAAATTTAAAAATATCTTTTAAATTTTGATACCGATTTGATTTGTATTATAAAATGATTGATATAAGAATTCAATCAAATAAATAATTACAATTTAATATTTTTGGAAAAAAAGACAAAAACAATTATTAAAAATTATTTATCATTTTTGTATTTGTAAGTATTGTTTAAGGATTTTGTATATATAGTAATTCAAAAATCTTTTATTAAGCAATTTTCAAGTTAAACCTTTTTTTACATTATAATATTTTCTATATTTATATCTCAATGTATAGATAATTGTATAAATCTAAAAAATATACAATAATATTTCTAATAAATAATATAGAAAATCTTATTGCAATGCATTAATAGATCTCTAAATAGTTAAGTATTAAATAACAATTTTCAATATATAAACCATATTGGGGTATTTTATATTTTCTATATTTGTATCAATAAGATAAACTGCTAAGAATATAATACTGGTTGTATTAAAATAAGTGCTAAATCTGCAATTCTTATTAGATGAATTACAAGTTTTCTCTTAGCAGCACTTAGATAATAACTATTTAGAGTATTACAACAGACTTTTTAAAAATTATTATTTTAATTAAATATCAATCTCTCTTTGTTTGGATAAGCTTGCCAAATACTTTTTGTTTGATAAATTCATTAAATTCTCCTTGTTTGGATAAATTTGTCAAATTCCTTTTGTCTAAATAAATTTATTTGTCTGAATTAATTCAACGAATCTTTTTTGTTTGAATAATTTGTTGAATTCTCTTTGTCTAGTTAAACTTGCTAAACTATTTTTTGATATTCTAACAAAGAAAAAATAAGAATTTTGAATAATTAATATATATAATTGTCTTAAAAAAATATTTTATATAAATGATATCAACTTTTCCTTAATGTGAAAATTTTCATCTTGTCAAAATTATTTATAATGCCACCTAGATACTCTCATACAAATAATTCTCAAAAAAAGTCTAATAATTATTACTCTAATTATAAAGCCAATGAACTTGCTAAATACAATAAATATAATGATTATTTCTTCAAAAATACAATTCGCATTTCTCTTCCTGTCAAAATAGATGAAACTAGTAAATTTTCTGTATTTATAAAAATAGCTCCTATTTCAGGTAAAAAATAAATAGAAAAGAACGAAATAAATATACTAGATAGTGTTTAAAAATGTTAAAAGCACCTTCAACCCAATCTATAATACAAATAAACCTGATAAAAAAATTGTTCTTTATATAGCACTCTTGATTGTAATAAAATACAACTAAAGTCTTATCTAGTTATTTGGTTGCTCTAAATGGATCTAAAAACATGATGCATATGTTAATATAGAGCATAATTATTTGGAAAAACCAAAAGAAAAAACATAATGACACCTTACTCAATCTATATCACTACCCGGGCTATTATGTGGTTCTTCAGAACCACATCAGGCTTTAATAAAGATGCTGAAATAAGAAAGTTACTTTTAATTGTGTTATTGAATATAAAGAATTAACTTCTGGCACAAACACCCCACCAGAAGAAGATGAAATGGAAAATGAATATGAGTATTTTGGAAATAGAGAGGTTATATTCGAAGATATTAGGCTTTTAAGTAGCAGGAGGTGGTGGGTGAACAAAGTAATATAGTTATTTTAGATAAGTAAATTTTGTGCGATTTTCATTATCTTATCATACAACATAAAATCTATCATGTGACTAAGGTCTTACCCATGTCTATGAAGTTCATACCCATGAAAAAAACTATTTTGCTAGCAAACAAAAATTTTAACGTTGTTACGATGTAAAGAAACTCTTTATTAAATGTCACGGATTATCGTGAAATTGGATCATCGTGAAATTTAGATTTATTTTATATACGATTTTTAAAATTTTTTGGGGTCCTTTTTTTTTATAGTTAAGTTAGGGTTTAGGGTTAGAATTATTAATAAAAGAGTATAGGTGGATTTTGGTAGGGCTTATATTTTCAAATCAAGACCCCCAAATTTCACGATGATCCGCGACATTAAATACGGAATTAAACAGAATAAATATTAAGCGAGGAATTAAGATATATTTTTTATAATATTCAAATAGTAAATTTCGATTAAAAAAAATCAAATTTAAATATATATATTTAAATAATTGCTTTAATTTAGTTTTAAAAAACTCTAAATATTAAATTTGTGTATTATACAATGTGAAACAGCATAAACCAACACTAATAAAAAGTGCCAAATATTAGAATTATATTATTAATTAATTTTATATAATCATGATTAGTTAAAAATAATATAAAATTTTTTTTTTATACAATATATTAAATACCAGAATTTGAATAAATTGAACAATACAAAAATCCTTCAATTCGGATACAATAGCTTTAACATAATCCGAACAATACCAATATCTTATAATATTTGATGATTAAAAATCGCAATGCCCAGGGCGTTATTTCGAATGACATCCAGGATTAAGTAAATTATAATCGTAATTCGAAATGGTCTCCCTGAGTAATCAGCGCATTTATATTTTAACAATACCTTTTCCAAATATCACATTCTAGAAATACTCAGGAAAGCAAATAATCAAACTTACGTACGTTTCAGGCTAGATCAAACATATGGTCTAAATCTAGTGGCTGAAATGTTTCGAGATTTTATGGACTGATTTGGATTTATATATTTCTGAAGCGCTAAATATGGCAATGAATTCAGTAAAATGAGACGTTTTGGAGAAATGGCTATCCATATTTGATTACGGAATGCAGTCATTGGATAAAAATGAATTCTGTAAAATTGAACAGACATATTTAAATTTGATGGACATCAAGATGTCCAATCATTTTATTTTTACATTCTAAAACAAATTTAAAATCAAAAATCTAGTATGCGCAGCATACTAAATTTATTTTGATATAACACCAACTGGTGGTAATCATGCGCGATTTTAGTGAGGAAAAAGGGAGGCGGTTCGTAGTTACATATAGTATACAAAATGAAAACATCCTAAATTAGAATACAAGGGATATGATACAATGTAATAATGCCGCTCGCAAGCAAACTTTACTCTTCAGATTTAACAGATCGTTCTAAGGTTTGCGTTGATGTTAAAGAATTTGGATTGTTAACTATCTCTACAACACCACTTTGACGATTGTTGGAACTATTTGTAGTATTATTTTCCTCCTCGGACCTATTTTCCACTGTCGCCACTGAACTTTCATCACTCTCATTGTTATCTGTCGTAGTTGTATTTCCATTGGTTTCATCATCTCCTACCACCGTACTTACGTTTGATCCCTCTAAAGATTCTACGTATTTAGGTAAGGATAGCCCGTCATATGGAGGTAGATATTCATCAACCGATCCAGCGGTTGAAGCAGTATCAAATCCATTTTCGTTTCTGACCCTTCTAACATCACTAACTTGTCCTTCATTTGGAGAGAAATTACGCCCTCTCATCTTATTTACAAGTTTAAATAACCAAAATATCAATTCGACTAATATCACAATGGAGATTACTATAAGAATAAACTTTGTTATTTCCGAGCTATAGTTTGAAGTCATCATATTATCGTTGTCTGAATTTTGAGCACCATCTGCCTTTGATATTTGGGTGGGTGATGATATAGGTACAGAAATTGCAGGGGAGGCCAGAAGCGAGCATATTATGAGTGAGATTGTTGAACGTCTAAAGACAGGATTGGACGTCATTTTGGAAAATATATATGTATTGGTATTTTTTAAGGTAGGGGTTTTGAAATTTTTGTTAAAAAGTAACCAAAAAAGAGTGTTACTGATCTCTTCTCTCGTTTAGATTATAAATTTCTTGCTGCTATCAACACATACTCTTTATGTGTTGTATTGAGGGGTATTAGACACATGTAAAAAAAGAAAAAATCTATATCGTGAGTTATGGCAAAATAAAAAGAGATATATGGTTTAAGGTGGCAGAAGAAATTTATAAAAAAAAACAAGACAAGAGTAAATGTTTCGAAGGAGAAGAATAGAGTTTTTTTTCGTTTTAGAATGAACCAAATCCTTAGTATTATTGTATATATAGGTCATGTTTTGTTTGTTTCTGCACTGGTACAATTTAGTAACAAAAGGAAATTACTGACCGTTATGCTCTCCTTAATAGTTAAGATCTATAAATATTTCATTTCATAGATAAACCAATCACGTACAATTTCTATTAGCATTAAAATTTCGGGGCCAAATTTAATCGGGATTTTGTTTCGGATTAATAAATATATTAGTACAGATTAGTACCGTAGTATACATGTGTTTTAAATTTCAGGCACTTACATAAATTATATCTTTTTGAGCTGTAGAATGGTTGTATCGGTGTAACTTGAATTAAAATGGGTAAGCTTCATAATCGTAAATTACAAATTGCATCAAAATTAAACTTTTTGTTCTTGAGCTGCTTAGCCAGCAATTATAATTTCATAATCAAAAACGAATTATGCCAGACGAAGCGGGTCATAAAAGACAGCGTGTTTCTAAAGCCTGTGATTCCTGTCGTCGCAAGAAAGTTAAGGTAGATGTTTTTTGAAGGATTTAAAGAATTTTTGTTATCGTTTTTTTCATAAATTTTTTGTTATTCTAGCTATTTTCCGTTAAAATTGTATTCTATTTATTTACTGTTTTTATATTCTTTTTTTTTGTTCTTAGTGTGATGGCGTTCAACCAGTGTGTGGTAACTGTTCGACTTTTAACCTGGATTGTACCTATAATGATGCCACCAAAAAAAGGTTTTTATCTTATTTTATCTTTACCTTATTTTATTTTATTTTATTTTTTGTCAGGAGAATCCATAGAAGGAGCCATCATAGTCAATTTCCTATACTTAATTCCAGTTACCCTCGATTTTATGTTTCATGTTGATTTGTTGTTTTATGCAGGGGTCCCCCTAAAGGTTACATCGAAGCTATTGAGACACGACTACATAGAATGGAATCTCTTTTAGGTGGATTGGTTCATAGCAATGATCCCTTTGCAGAGGCTGTATTGGCAGAGTTAATGCAGGATGACCCGCGCCCTTCTCGTAGATCTGGAAATATGGAATTTACATGGAAGAATGGCTCTTCATCAGCGCATGATGCAGGACGATCGGGCAGTTGTGGAGTGCAAAGCCCTGAAAATGTTTTGACATCTGAAGCAAAAGATAATTCTATTATCGATGATCTAAATGATATTATGGGTATTCTTAGTATAGATGAAAACAGACAGGTTCGTTATCATGGACGAAGTAGTGGGCTTTATCTCCTAAAGAATAGTGAACGATACAAAAATGGAATCCTGTCGTTATCCGATAATTCTCCAGAGGAAAATTTATTTTCTACCCAAAATCTAGAATTATTAAAACGACCGGAATTGGCGACATTGCCTTCCCAAGAAATATCCGATCACCTATTGGAGACTTATTTCACACACATCCATCCTCTATTACCTATTATATATAAACCAATTTTTTTTAATAGGTTAAAAGATCGAGATAATCCACCACTTCTTCTTTTGAATGCTATATACGCTCTTGCTGCAAGATATTCTGATAGACCTGAACTAAGAAAGAATCTTCAGGATTCGCAAACGGCCGGTGATGAATTCTTTGACCGTGCAAAGGCATTGCTTGACAATGATTATGATAAATCTCACATAACAACTATTCAAGCTCTTATTATAATGGCTTTAAGGGATATTAGGATCGATAACACCACGAGATGTTGGATTTACATTGGTATGGCTGCAAGGATGGCGCAAGATTTAGGTATTCACCGTAATAACGAAAAATGGCAGCCGATCTCGTTATCACACGAAGAAAAAGAAGAACAAAAACGTGCATTCTGGTCATGTTTTGTAGTTGATAGGTAGATGATATATATGCTCATATATCTTTAAAAGATTTATTAAAAATTTTTGTACGATTTATTAATATCAAATACTTGATTTTTTATAGAATAGCGAGCACACATATGGGACGTCCGTTAGGTATTGATGAAAAAGATGTGGATGCTGCGTATCCATCAGAAGACGAAGGTGATGAATACGAATTACTTCCGTTTAAAATGACACATGCAACAACATCTTCAACATTATTATCGTCACCTACTTCTACTAGTAGCAGCGTTTTTGGGTCACCTATGTCCCCTGCTTCAACGATAATTAACAAGGAGTCACCAAATGCCGCACGTTCTGTTTCGCGATTTAACCGTTTGATAAAACTTTGTGAAATAATGGGACGCATTATTCAAAATATATATGCGATTCGATGTAATGTATCTTCTGCTAATAGTACAGTTACATCAATTCTTGATTCATCTCTTACGTCTTGGTTCGTAAACTTACCACCACATTTACAATATAATCCATCATCGGATCAAAATTATGACACAACAACACTCAATCTTCATGGTTTATATTATTCGACATTAATCCTTCTTCATCGCCCCTACGCGAACACAATTGGTAAAAATCCATCTCATAACATATGTACTACTGCGGCAAATGCGATCACTGAAATCGCTGATTCAATGAGGCGGCGGAAACAATTAAAACATAGTCCAACTACTGTAATTTATTGTACTTTTTCAGCTGCAGTTATTCATACATACAATGCTATTCAACCTGATATTACTATTTCTCAACCAGCAAGGGAAAACCTTGAAAAGTGCCTAAAAATATTAGATGCTTTAATTGCTATTTGGCCATTAACATATAAATACGCTGTTATATTAACAGAGTTAGCAAACTTGAGAGATGCACAGTTGGATGTAAACATGGAATCAAAAAATGATGGACCAGAAGATGGATTTAATTCTAGGAAACATATTAATCCTCCAATCATCTTAGATCAACATGAACGACAGGCGAGGATTCACGCTTTAAATAATAAAATCATATCACATAATAATAAAGGTAGTTCTACACATTCACAAATGTTTAACCCCGTATCTTCTTTAAATCATTCGCAGACTTATGAACGACAACCTTCTGTAATGGGTTTTGGTAATCCTCTCACAATTTCTTCACAATCATCATCGTCATATAATCAAACACAAAAATCACAACTGTTACATCACGATTTGCCAGAGTCTGCTCAAATGTTTAATAATCCATTTGGGTACAGATATATTACTTCTGCCACAGCAGACCAACAAACTCAACATACCATAGGTGGTACGGATCCATATGCCGCTCCAGGTGTGGTATCAACAAATCATAGAATAGGAAATGATACAATCAATTCAATAAATTCCGAATTTTGGCTTCCGCAAAATGCGGAGTTAGGTGAACGATCTTCGTATTTTGGTTCACAACCAATGCAACAAAGTGTCTCACCATTCTCTTCGCCACCTGCGTTACATTCTCAACCACAAGCACTAATGCAGATACCACTGTTACATGATGATGGAAACGATGTAAATATGTTTGCGGATAATCATGCATTTGCTGCTATAGGGGTTGGTAATTGTGGTAACAGAAGGGGAAACACTTCACCAGTGCCATATTTTTGAGAATTATTATTCGAATCTTTGATATTTTACCCCACAATATTCACAAATAGAAATTTAGTGTAACGAACATATAGCGCGCGTTATAGAAACATACGTATATATATATAAATTTAGGACATTAGTTAGGATTTAAAGTGTAAGGATGAATTGTTAAGTATTAAGATGTTTTGTAAGTGTTTAATTTATTAAAAGATTTATTAACGTTAATCATTAATATGATCAAAATAAAAGGAACAATTTGTGATTTATCTTTGATAAAGTTATCAAAAATTGCAAAACTTTGATTCGTACATCATACCGAAAAAAATTTCATCACCAGCTCCTACATTTAATATCATATATCTATTTAATATATGACTTATATCCTTATTTTCTTAAAATTAATTAAAAATTATAAAAACAGGTGATTATTATTACAATAATAGTAATTCAATTAATTACCATGCGTTTTGTGCTAGAAACATGCCTCAAAAATTTTTGATGTCATTCATCAGAAATGTAAAGTCACACGTCCGAAATATGTAATGTGTTATTTCAGTATTTAGAACAGTTTCAGAAAATGTAGCACAATCAATTACCTGACTTTCGGTATTTAAAAAATTAGAAGTACGCCAAACATGTCGATATATAACAGATAAGGTATTATGGCAAAGAGAGGGTTGATGAATCAAATATTTCGTGAACCAATGAACAAATTTTAACGATTTTTATTTTTCCAAAGAAATCAAATATATTGATTTTGTTAAATTCTGCCCACTAGCTCATGAGAATTTTATTTGCCACATTACCCATCTTACCATAATATTTCCTTTCTCGTAGAATGTAAAATACCAAGTACTTTATGAACAATAATCCACATCTAAAAAGTTGCCATTTTTAAACCATCAAATGAAATTACCATTTATAAAAAAAATTAAATTCGTAATTATCATCATCTATATATATAAGAATATATACATTATTTAATTATCGCTGGTTGAAAATGCAATATTACAAAATCATCGATCAATGTTCTAAACTATTCGAGTATTCGCAAAAAAGTAATTTTTTTTTTTAACGTAGGTTACGTTTAATCAGCCCCTTTAAATTTATCCGTTCTAAGTTAAGTATTTGGCCAAATTCGTATGTAGCCTAAAAATTTTTGGTTTAATTAAATATATATATTCATATAAATTTTAAAATTGATTTAATTTTTTATAAATGGCACCTATTTTTTTGGGGGTTTGGGTTTAAAACTAAGAAAAAAAGTCAAACTGCATTTTTGTTTATACAATCCATCCTACTTTTTTTTAATCGTTGATTCATAACGATAATAACTTTTTGTGATTCTTTAATACATCAAAAAGCATGATAAAAAAAGTTAGTATAGATTTTTTTTTTCACAAATTTTTTTGTTGTAGATAACTGCGCCATTCACAGAACTCGCCAAGCAGTAGCCAAGTGGATGCTTATTATTATCAGGATGTGCAGGTGAGCTCCGTTAATCCCCATATGGATTAGAAAGTTCCAAAGTTTATCTGTATTCAGAAATTAGTACGCCCAATTTCATGCTTGATTTGTTTATTTTGTTTTGCCGCGCTTTTTTTGATAAAAGACCGCTCTGTTCGTTTTCAAGTTCCGCACGAGGTCTTAACAAACACTTGTGCTGCACATTTCCGCAGTTAGAAATTACAAAAACAACTTTTTTTAACTATATGCTATACTATTGATTTTTATTGGACGAATTTAAAAAGGTATGACCGATGACGTTTTATTCGTGAATTTGTTGATCAATTTTATAATAGATAAAACACAGCATTCGTTTTCAAATTATAATTTTTACACCTTTTTTTTTTGTAAATTTTTATTTTTCTTGCATCAAACGTAACATAATTTTGATCAATATCCGCAACAACAACTACTATTCCACTCTTTAATAAAGAATAATTTTTTCCCGAATAAAAAATAGCGATTCAAGATTCAATTTTTAATTTTTTCGTTCGATGGCATTCAATCAACATCAATTAATTCCAAAGCCGGACATCAAAGTTGGTTTCAGACTCAATGATGAATATGCTGATACTTTGCTTCCACGAATAAGAAATTTATTACGTTCAAATTCTAATACGAAACGGTAAGGTCATTATTATCATTTGTTTATTTCTTTAAAAAAAAGAGAGAAAATTTTTGAATGATTAATATTATAATAAATTCGAACTTTTTTAATTTAATAATTGGTCTCTTAAAAATTAATAGATTTCCCGGAACACAACCTGTTGATTTTGAATTATGTCATTTCGATTTATTAGAATCAGAAGAATATTTTGTACGAGATAAAACTGACGGGAAGCGATATATCATGTTTTTCACCGCTAAAGATGGTGGTACGGTATTCATGGTAAGTTCAGCTTATTTGACATATTTGGAAAGTACGCGTGCTTATAAGCTTTCTTTCTGATCTGTTTGTTGATTATCTAATCGATCAACAAATTTACTTAAAATTCAGCTGGACGAATCAAACAAGTTTCGATTCCTGACTAATTTCAAGTTACCACTACGGCATAATCCTAATGCGATACACGATGAAACTATGATGGATGGTGAGATAGTAATGGAAATCGATGACAATAAAGTATTCTATTTAAAATAGTATTCTACTTAAATTAGTTTTTTTTAATTCTCTTTTTTAATTTCCAAAATTAATTGTAAAATTATCCTTTTTTTTTTTGATAATTTTTAGAAATGTTTACGATATTTAATATTTGATTTGATGGTTTTGAATGGGAGCATTCTTATAGAAAGGCCTTATAACAAACGGATGGGTGTACGTTCATATTTGAATAACTCATTTTGAAATTTATTTCTTAAATATATTTAATTTTTTTCGCCATTTGACTTTCAGATGCTAAAGCAAGACGTGATTGAACCTTTAAATGCTGCGTTGAAAAGAAATCCTGAATTAGAGAAAAGGATGCCCTTTACGTGTGTATTATGGCTTCGTATATTAAATTTATTAATCTTTAACTTTGTGCTAAATTATATATATTTGTATTTTAAATATACTTTTGATTATAATATTTATAATATATAAAAAAAGGATGGAAATCAAATCAATGGAGTTATCTTACGGACTGATAAATACTCTACAAAAAATTCCTTCGTTAAAATATGGAAACGATGGTTTGATATTCGTTCCAGTAAATCATCCATACGAACCTGATATTTGTCACAAATTGTAAGTTATTTAAATATTATTACCTTTTACTATAATCAACTTTTTTTTTTAATTCGAATTGCAACTTTTAATAGACTCCTGTGGAAGCCAATAAATCAGATGTTCGTTAGCTTTAAAATCAAAATCATCAAACCTAGTAGGGATAAGAAGCCTATATATCAATTACTGATCGCCAATGATGATAACACCCATAAATTTTATGATTATTTCACTCCAGATCCGCAGACTGAGGTCGAGTGAGTAGCAATAAATTTTATATTTGTATGATGTTCAAATTCGGTTAAACCTATTTCTTCGACACTCCATTTCCATGGCTCTGTTTCTCCGATAGAATGTTTTCCCTGAAACCTTTTCATTTATGAAGTAGTTAGGTTTAAATACTAAAATAGTTCTATCGGTTGGTTTATATAATATTTGGGTAAATACAAAAAGAATGCATGATAGTTGACAAATTACGTTAGAAACCATTTTATTAGTAAAATACCTTGTCGGTGAAACTTTTGGTTAGGAAATTGTTGTCGAGGAAAGAGGTCGTCAAGAAACGTACCGGATCCATTTAATTTAATTTGTTAATTTTATTATCAGCTGGATTAAAAATGTTCACGATGGAGATATTGGTCAATTCTGGTAATATTATTAGTAATATCAGATATTTTAATATAGAATGTGTAAGTAAAAGTTTGTTAATGTGTGAATTAGGTATGATGAACACTGGAGCACCACGATTTATGATGCTGATCCACACATCCGGCATAATGGTGGCTGGCGGTAATCGATCATGTTAAATTATTTTTTTGTAGATGCGGATCTCTTTAGATTCTTCTATTGATGCTCGCACGCAATATAGGTTTCGTAGATTTAAACGCGGGCAACATACTGCAGATTCGGAAGGCGTATTAACGGAAGTCTTAAATAGAATACAAAACGCTGTTCCAAGAGATGTGGTGAGTTTTGTTCATTTTCTTATTAACTATTATTTATAATATCACTTATTTATAATTTAATTTGAATCGTATTACTGATATACTGTCGGTGATATATAATAATTAAAGTTGGAGGAACGAGTCACTGTTATAAGAGAAAAGTGGAAACTTCGACAATCTAACAGAGTTAGTGGTTCACAACCATTACCTACATCATTAACACAAACCTCGTTAATACAAAACAGGTATTTATTATGTTGTGTTAGACGTTATTAATCAATTTATTTCAATGATAACATTGTTCACCTGGTATTTTTGATGATTAGCTCGTCAGAATCGCTTCACCCTCCTCAGGATTCATATCAACCTTCAATACAGCACCATGATGTTCATGAAGGTAGCGAATCACCAAAGGAATATCAAGATTCCACATACCCTCCTCATGATTCACAATTTTGTTCGAGTCCTCTGGAGAAAAGGTCACCTGTTATTGAAAATAGATCATTAAATGAAAATAGGGAAATACTCTCAAGTCCATTACTATTACATGATCGTCATCGAGAACCACTCCAGAAACAACCTTTGACAGATACAAATGAGCATTTTGACCCTGATGCTGATCCATGGGATGCACCTGATTATTATGAAAGTTCACAAATAGTAAATAATGAATCATCATTTCCGGAAGATCAGTCCGAATATTGGGAGGAGAATGAACATCTTGAATCGTCCGAAAGTTCGGAAGCAGCATTGGATAATAATTTCTTAATAGAGAAAATTCATGAATCAGAAGTTCAATCACAAACGCAAAAACCTCAACAGTATCAGTTATCTATATCACCTAATCATCAATTCATCAATTATACACAAATTTCATCAACATCTTCAAGGCCAACACCGCAAAAACGTAAATCAAAGGGTGCACTTGATTTTATACTCAATGCATCATCATCATCATCATCAGAAACCAATCAAAAGAGATCGAGGTTTGATGACGAGAATGATGAATAATCTAAAAAAAAAAATTTTCTATCCCTTAAGCCGTCTCAAATTCAGGGCAAATTTGCCCTGAATTTGATTACAAAAATGCTTATGATTTATTTTTTTTAAAAATTTATATATTTTAATAAAAATTTTTTTTAATAGTATTTGAAAATAAGAGTTATATTTTTGTAACATTTCTAGCTTAAATTATAAGATAAAAATTAAGCTTTATATAGGTTAAAACTTACAATTTTTAAAATAATTTACAATTTTTAATAATATATATTTTTTAAGGGTAGTGTATGTAGATCAATTTTCATATGATATGCTTAGCAAATCAAAACCTTATATAGATAATAAAAATTTGCCACTAATAAAAATTTTCAAATACAATTAAATTTTGTAAAATATAAATTGTACTTTTTATTTATAGTAATAAAATTTTTAAAGGCTATACTATTTTTAAAAATATACTTTTTTATACAGTTAAATAGCTTTAAATTTGCTAAAGTTATACAAAAATATAGTTACAAATATTTCTAAAACAGATAATTATCTAATTAGGGTTGTATTTACTTATATAATCTACAAAAAAAATTTGCTATACATATTATATAATAAATGATTTACTGTATATACATTTTATTCTTTTAGATCTATTTTTTTTTAATAAATTCAGCAATCTTGCTAACACTTTATTATTAGTATAATATACAGGCTCACAAGGAGTATAATACTGTATATTAACTGAAGTTTATCTAATTTCTTTAAGTGTTTGCTTTGCTAACCTGACTCTTTGTGGCACCAAGGGTGTCCAAATTGTCTATATTTGATCTGCTATAGTAAAGTATATCTCCATATCGACCACTCTGTAAATAGATATTTCGATACTTCCTTGAATAAATTTATAGCCTATCAAGATTGCCTTCTTTTCTAACCTTCTTCTCCTAGCTTTCTAAGCAGAAGGATTTATAGTTTCCAACTGATTTATAAAAAATATACTAACACAAACAAAAAAAAGTAAAAAGAAAAAAGAAAAAAGTAAAAAGTGCTGAAGCAAAAGAAAATAAATAATAAAAGACAAATGAAAGAAGAAAAAAAAAGTAGAAAAGAAAGAATTTTATAATAATACTACTGTATTATAGCTTGTGCCAGACATAACATATCACATGTAAATTTTTTATATATGAAATTATAATAAAAAACATATAAAATTACTATAAACTTTGCAGCTTTAATGTTTTTTGGTCTATATATTAACTTAAAATTAAAATTTATAATTATATACAGTATAACAAATAAAGAAGAAAATTTTAAGCTTAAAAACTAGGTTAAAATTTTGCTAGTTTTGTACAATTTCAAAAAATATTAGTAATTATATGTAAAGTAATACTTTGAACAACTTTAATTAGAAGATGAAAGCAGGTTATCTTGATAAAAAAATGAGTTATCTATGTACTAAAGTTAAAAATTTAAGTTTTTCTATATATAACTTTTTTTTCTACTTAGATAATCTGCTTTTATCTTTTAATTAAAGTTGTTTAGCATAAAATTTTATATTTATATAGTTTACTGGTTTTTGCTTTTGCAAACTTTTTACTAAGTGAAAAATGAGGTTAAAGTTAGAAAAAAAATTTCTTTTAAAAAATTTTTTAAAAAAATTTTTTTCTAACTTTAACTCCATTTTTCACTTAGTAAAAGATTTGCAAAAGTGAAAACTAGTAAATTATATAAATGTAAAATTTTATACTAAACACTTTAATTAAAAGATAAAAATAGATTATCTAAATAGAAAAAAAAGTTATATATAAAAAAATTGGAATTTTTAATTTTAGTACATAGCCAACTCATTTTTCTATCAATATAACCTGCTTTCATCTTCTAATTAAAGTTGTTTAGAGTATAACTTTACATATAATTACTAACTTAAAATTAGTAAATATTTGTTTTTAATAAAGTTATTTTTTGAAATTGTACAAAACTAGCAAAATTTTAACTTAGTTTTTAAGCTCAAAATTTTTTTTTTTATTTGTTATATATGATTATAAAATTTAATTTTAAGTTAATATATAAATCAAAAAACATTAAAGCTACAAAGTTTTAGTAATTTTTTTTTTTTTTTTTAAACTGCGATGATTTTGTCATTAATTTTATTACTTATTTTTAACCGAACATTACATATATATTATATACATTTTAACCTATCTAAGTAGTCGTCATGACCTTACCTGGCTACTCTATATAGGCCCAGATGCAACTGTTTGCACTATCTCATATGTAAGATGGACATCCTCGGATACCTCTATCAAGAAGCACTCTAAGTTCAGAACCCTAATCTTTTTACTAATTTGTATATACCCTGCTATATATACTACTGTATAACATCTTCCAGTTATAATCCATCTCTTATCACTTATCACATTACTCCTAATTCATTTTTTGTATAACTTCCAAATTGGTGTTCTAGAAGTGGGCGCTCTTCTTGCTTCCAGTTAGTTTCTAATCCGTATCTCAAGCCAGGTGCTGTCACCGTCCGAAGACCCATATCTCAAGCCACCTGCTGTTGCCATTAGGAGAGCTGTTCGCATGGTTTTAGGTATTCACGTCATACACCACCAAATTAGGCTATCGCTCTTTTTATAGTACTCCCTATCAGTATAGTATTACAGAAGTCTAGATCCTTAGGACGGAAGTTAAGTACCTCATTTAATTACTGTTACAAGCCAGTAACCCAGGACCCGTGCTTCTGTTATATTTCGTCATGCTTCCATGACTTCTATATAGGTTGTGTGACATATTACTCACTAGCTGACTTTATTTTTGTACTACCGGAGCACTTGCTTCCATGCTTTTCGGGGTTTCTTTTAGCTAGTTTTTCTTGTTTTCTTGTGCCAAAGGTGTTCTATATTTGGTAAAGCCATTCTCTTACCACAGCCTCTTACTATATTTATCGCTTCTCTCACCACTTCTGGATATATTGTATACAGTCATCCTCCTAATCAAGATCCCAATGCCGCCTTAGGGCAGGGTTGGCAATGGAGCCCAATGGAGCTGCCAATGGAGCCAATGAAGCCCTGAATGGAGCCAATGGATACTAGTTTTTTGAGCTCCATTCGTATAACCATTTAACTCCATTGGCTCTATTGCCAACCCTGCCTTAGGGTTGTTGATGCTACCTTGCTAATCGTGAATTCACACACACAGCCTTCTGCATTATTACCTTCTGTGATCTATGTCACACACAGTGCCCGATCTTCTCTATAGCTTGGAACTCCTTCCAAGAATTCTTTATCAGCCAAATATGTACTTCACATGGTCTTACTACCACAAAGTTTCACATTCAAAAGCTCCTGAAGGTTACAGAGATAATTAATTAAATTAATTACCACTAGCTGTAATTAAACCATCAACCTTGTCTGTGGAGGGTTAGGCACCTAGACCACTAGGCTATAGGACCCTAACCCCAAAGTTTTAGTAATTTTATATATTTTTTATTATAATTTTATATATAAAAAATTTACATGAAATATAATATAATAAATCATATAACTAATAAGTTGTAAAAATTATATACTAAAATTAAATTTTGTATATCTCTAATATAAAGCTAAGCCTTATCGATAAATTTTCTTTTGATTTATAATTTCAAGGTTTGTCTAAAACTCTTAACTGAAGTATCAATATTATGTCATGTGGTATAGAGTTACTATTGAAACAAATATATATAAGTTTATTAATCTTATATTGTGTTCTACTAAGCCTATCTGAAAAAGAAAAGTAAACAAATACTAATCTTTTGGAAGAGATAAGCTGAAATGCTTACTTTTGTTAAAAATTTTGATAAGATTAGTGAGAAGCAGAGTAGAGAAAAAAAACTACTAGTATACAAAATAAAGAAATATAAGTTTTTTTTACTAGAATCAAATAAAGCTACACCAGAACTTGCATAGTACTAAGTTTTTTCAGTAAGTAATAAACTCTAAAGCTTGTTGGCAAATAGTATATAAGAACTATTTCTAAATGACAAGTGTTATATCTGTTGTCACAGTAAGTAATAAACTTTAAAAAAATTGGCAGATAGTATATGAAAACTATCTCTAAATGATAGTTGCTATCCTAAAGTCTCTTTTCATATATCTTATTAGTCTAGTATAGCCATTTGTATTTTTTTCTAGTAAAAAGTTTTTTGGAAATTTTTGATAAAAGTAATCATCAAAAAGAGTTGATTATTTATTGTAAATTATTTTAAAATATAATAATTTTTATTAAATTTTAATATAGTATCTTTAAAAAATAAATATAGAATAAATCTATATAGATTTATATATATATATTTTTTTAAACATTTGGCAGTCCTGCTTTCACTTTATTAGGCTTTATAATAATTATCTAAACTATTAAAATTTTCTGAGAAGTTATTCTCCCCAGTACCTAAATTACAAGTGGAAACTCACCCGGTTGCTCATTAAGTACCTATGTGCAACCTGCTATAGTAAGAAATGCCTCTGTATTACTTTATCCTGCAATTGGCTTTAGTAATACATCAACAGCTGGTTCTTACCACCTGTCAAGACTATATATCAGTTTTTTGATTTTGGGTCAATATCCCGAACATCAAAATCCTGATAGTACTAAATCCCGATGTACCAAATCCCGAAAGAACAAAATCTCGAAGGGGTAATATCCCGAAAACTAAATCCTGAAGAAAAAAAATTCTGAAAATTTATAATTCTGAAAATTTATAATTCTGAAAATTTATAATTCTGAAATTATAATCTCGAAATCATAATCCTGAAAGATCATAATCCTGAAAGATCATAATCCTGAAAGATCATAATCCCGAAAGATTATAATCCCGAAAAATCATAACCCCAAATTACAGTCCTAAAACTAAAATTTTGTAGTTGCATATTCAAATATTTCGATTAAAAAATAATAATAT